CAGACGCAGAGAACCGACTAATGGCTGAAAGAGAGGAGTGGGCTCAGGGCCTGGGTGAGAAAGGTGAAGGGATTCAGAAGGACAGATTGGTAGTTACGGAACAGTCCTGGAGATGAAATGACAGCGTAGGGAATACAGTCAGTTATACTGTGATAACTCTGTATGGTGCCAGGGGCACTGGAAATACCAGGAGAAACACTTTGTCGAGTGTATGATTGTCTAACCACTACGCTGTCCACCTGAAGCTAACACAAAATCACATTGAATATCAACTGTAATTTAAAAATGAAATTAAAGCCCTAGCTGGTTTGGCTCAGTGGATAGAGTGTCGATCTGTGGACTGAGGGGTCCCAGGTTCGATTCCAGTCAGGGACACATGCCTGGGTTGCAGACTCGATCCCCAGTGGGGGGCATACGGGAAGCAGCCAATCAATGATTCTCTCTCATCATTAATGTTTCTGTCTCTCTCTTCCTCTCTCTCCCTTCCAGTCTGCAATCAATAAAAAATATAAATCAGGTAGAGCCCTGAAATTTGTGTTATAGTTACACTTATGATTCATGTTATAATAAGTAAATATATATATATGGATCTTGTAGGTGATAAGATGGAGAATGGTTTGGAGAGCAGCTACAGATTTCCTTAGCCAGGACCCCACCAAGATTGCTTGTGTTCTGTCCTCCTGGGGCAGTAGTTCCCAGAGAGGAGTCCCCAACACCCAAAGACTGGACGAGGCCCCGGACTCACACTGGGCCCAGCACTGTGTGTCTGGGAGTGAGAGGCGACACTTGCACCATTTCAACCCCCTTTAATAACTTATTATCAATTTGCCAGGAACGGTGCCCAGAGGATAGGATTCGAGGCAAGAGGGGCCCTTTCATTTCACCCAGTCTATTCATTGTCTGTCTCCTAGGGTGGACTGAGAATTTCCATCTACTTTGCTCAAGGCTTACCCTCCACACCTGGCACCGTGCCTGGCACTTAGAAGGCATCTAGTAAATGTGTGCTGGGGAATGAGATGAGGGCTACCCCCCTGGGGAATGTGTCACCTCGTCTCTTGAAAGCCTTCACGACGCTCCTTGAAATTCTCTCTTTTTTAGTTTAAATCTATGGTAATCCTGGCTCAGAAACTCAGAGTGAAAAATCCAGAGTGGGCCAGGAAAAACCCCAATGCAGCAGAGTTATAAAAGAATGTAACAAGCAAGCAAGTATGGACCCTCCTAATGTTTTATTCTTTATGCATATACCAGAGGCCCGATGCATGAAATTCATGCAAGAGTAAGCCTTCCTTTCCCCTGGCTGCTGGCACTGGCTTCTGTCTGGCACCTGGGACCCGGGCTTCCCTGGCAGCCCTGACTTCATCCAGGAGGTTGTTATCTGGCCTAATTGGCATATTACGCTTTTATTATTATAGATATTATAGAGCATCCCTAGAATTACTCATAATGCACTAATAGTAGGTGAGTGTCCAGGGCTATGTTCCAAGTGTTGTTCTACTAGTAAATGCTCTCTCCCCCTGTAGCTTTTTGTTTTTCTAATCCTCTCTTGAGGATATTTCTCCATTGATTTTTAGAGAGAGTGGAAGAGAGAGGGAAAGACAGAGAAATATTGATGTGAGAGAAACACATCTATAGGTTGCCTCATGCATGAGCCCTGACTGGGAAGAAGCCTGAAAGAGATGGTACTTGCCCTTGACCGGAATCGAACCCAGGACCCGTTGGTCGCAGGTCGAGAGGCTCTATCCACTGAGCCAATCCGGCTAGGGCCTCCTGTGCGACTTTGTTTAGCGGTGGCATTGAGTGGTTATGCACATTCAGCAGCTGAGCGCATGAGGCAGAAAGGGGAAGTGATTTGTTCATGTCCCACAGCTGGAGGTGAAGACCAGGCTTGGGTTCCTGCAGTCTGACACCTGTGCTCACCCTCATCAGCCTTGCAAGGAGCTTCCTGGCCCTGTGATCACAGGAAGCTCCCCCCCTCCACTCCCCACCTGAATCCGCAGGAGGCAGGGTAAGAGTGCAGACCCTGGGCTTCTAGGAGGGGAGCCTAGAATCCACATTCTTTAACCACCACTCACCTGGCGGTGCAGATAGCACTCAGATGTGCCACATTCACTCCTTGTGAGTTTACAAAACCTCTAGCACCTGCCCTCCTAAGCCCCAGGCTGGCCCACTCGCTCATAAAATGGAATGGGAATGTGGAAAGGGGAAAGGGAGGGAGAGAGAGAGGAAGGAATGAGGGGAGGTAAGAAGGGGAGGAAGAAGCTGGTCCCAAATCAGGCTCGGCTTCAGGCCAGGGCGGGTCAAGCAGCGCCCTCTGCACCTCTGCCTTGGACACAGCAGCTGGCTCCCCCCAGCTATGGGGGCAGCAGGCTGGGTGACCCTCCAAGGGAGGCACCCTCTGCCCAGGGGCAGCACTCGGGGCAGCCAGCCCGTGGGACTGGCAGGGGGATGGTATTTATCTGTACCTGAATGTTCTGCACTCTGTCCCCTCAGAGAGGGCGGGACGTCTCCATCAGCACCCTAGGGAGAGTCAGCCAGCAGGATGAGGGGCAGGTGGCTGGGAGGAGGGGCAGAGACAGGAATCCTGGCTGCAGGGCACTAGGATAATGAAGAACGTTCACGCTACAGGAAGTGGTGTGGGGATGGGCTGCTGGGTCCACTCCCACTTGGGGGCATCCATTGCTGGTTCTCTCCAGCAAACCTCAGGGCCACGCTAAGTCTCAGTGTCCTTGTGCATAAAATAAATAATAGTGATTATTAGATGGCTAAAATACTACCTGTGTTTTACTGAACACCTTTGTGTCAGGTAGTGTCTCGGGGCAACAGTCAATCTCCATAACAAACATCTATGAAGTCATTTTCTTCCCCATTTGACAGAAGAAGGAAATGAATCTTAGAGAGGCTAAGAAACCTGCCTACCCAGCCAGCATGGCTCAGTGGCTGAGCATTGACCTATGAACCAGAAGGTCATGGTTCAATTCCTGGTCAGAGTACATGTCTGGGTTGGGGGTTCGATCACCATTGTGCAGTGTACAGGAGGCAGCCAATTAGTGATTCTCTCTCATCATTAATGTTTCTATCTCTCCCTCTCTCTTCCACTTTGAAATCAATTAGAAAATAAATTTAAAAAAAGAAAGAAATTTGCCTAGTGCCCAGCAGGTACCCAGTGAGATAAGGATTTGATCACAGGTCTAACACCAAAGCCTCTTAATAGCTATTGCTTGCTTCTCCAATGTTCCTTCCACTCCTGGTGTCCACAACAAAGTGCCTGAAACATGAGATAGTCATGGTTTCAAAGAAAAGAGGTGCCACTGTCGTCCTAGCCACATCTGAGCCTTGATGGCAAAGATGTCTCATTGAGCTCATCTGTGTCCAGCAGGGATTCAGCAAGGTCGTGCAGCTCTGTGGACTGAGAGATTGTCAGTACATAAGGGGACCAAGAGGTATCTATCCAATGGACCAAGTTTCAGCCCAACCAAGCAGATGTCAAAAACAGGGGTCGTGCCAAAACCGGTTTGGCTCAGCAGACTGAAAGGTCCTGGGTTTGATTCCAGTCAAGGGCATGTACCTTGGTTGTGGGCACATCCCCAGTGGGGGAGGAAGGTGTGCAGGAGGCAGCTGGTCGATGTTTCCCTCTCATCGATGTTTCTAGCTCTCTATCCTTCTCCCTTCCTCTCTGTAAAAAAAATCAATAAAATATATTTCTTTTTTTAAAAAAGTGTCCTGCTGTTGCCTGTTTTCCCAAAGGGCTAAACTGAGGAGCCCTCTGTGTGAGGGGCTTCAAGGGGCTTTCAAAACCACAGAACTTCCTAGAAAATCCAGACCTCCCAGTCCACCCCCCTCTCTCACCTTCCCTCCCCCTGTGTGACCCTCATTCACTCCTGCTTCCATGCCTTCCTCAAACAAGCCGAGCTCATTCCCCATCAGGGGCTTTGCACTTCCTGCTCCTTCTGCCTCGAAGATCTCTCTCCAGGTTTCCACCAGCTTCCTGCTCCTGCTCCTGGACACCAGGTCTCCGATCCTGGGTCTCTCCTCTGGGATCCTTCCTGACCACTCCCTCTAAATCAGCACCCTTAGCCCATTCCTCCCCATCACATCTTCCTGCTTTGCTTCCCTACCTGAAATAATCCTGTTCACTGTTAGCTTATGGGCCTAGAAAAGTGCCTGGAGAATGGTGACTCAATGAATATGTGCTGAATGAATGAACCAGCACATCCGTGAATAAAAGAATGAGAAATCTTGCTTTTTTTTTTTTTCTTTGTAATTCGGTTCTAGGAACCCCTATTCAAAACTACCCCCTTCTTTCGGTTAACAAGGGCAGAGACCACAGAAATAACACCGTGGCTGGTAACAACCTAACAACCAGCCGGCAGTTGTAGGCACACACATTGCTGGGCATGGTTCCAGAGCTAAAAAGGCACTAATTGCTTTTCTATAAGGAGGCAGAAGCACAGCCCCTCCGTGGCCTTTAGTCCCGATGGTCTGCATTATCATATCTGTTACCCTGCTAATTGTTCCTTTCTCACACGGCCAGTTTGGGCCTCATTCTGCCCAGGTCTGGGATGGTGACAGGTTCTTATGCAGAGACCAGAGGGACTGGGGGAGCGTGTGTGTGTCTGTGTGTGTGTGTGTGTGTGTGTGTCCACGTGTGCGTAGCATATGTGTGTGTAAAAGCAGCTGCATTTGGGGAAGGATTAACTCCTGGCCAGACTCCGCTCAGGGCCCCAGGGCTGGCCCTGGGGCGGGAGGGGAGGGGTGGGCCTGGAAGGTGGAGCGGGCTTGGCTTGCATTGGCTGCCTTTTCCAAGACAGCAGTGCCCATGCTTGCCCAGCTGGCCCGAGCAGAGTGAGCCCGAGTCTCCTGGAGGAATGGCTGGAAAAGCCCGCACCTGGGGGACCCTCCCTCCCGGCCCCTCCGCGGCAGGCCGCCTCTGGGAGACGCTGGGGGCCGCAGAGGAGTGAGTGGCGGGGGAGCAGTGCACCGGCGGAGAGCAGCAGGCGAGGATGGAGGCGGTGGACAGCCTCCTCGTGAATGGGAGCAACATCACTCCGCCCTGCGAACTGGCCATCGAGAACGACACGCTCTTCTGCTTGGACCGGCCCCATCCGGCCAAAGGTAGGCGGCGGCCGAGGCCACCCTTCTGATTCAGAAAACTCCCCAGGAGAGGGGGAGATCAGCACGAGGCGAGGCTGGCAGGGAGGGCAGAACCCCATCTCGGGAGACCAGGCTGGAGAAAGCCGTCTGGGCAGAAGTTTGGCGAAGAGATCAGAAGGCAGGAGGGAGTCAAACACTCTCCGTGGCCCTCCGTCAGGAGAGAGGGGATTAACGGCGGGACTTGGGGGAACAAAAGCAGTGGGAGGAGGCGCTGGAGGGGAGCAGGAAGGCAGTTGCGAGCGAGCGAGTGTAGACCTCCAACTTACATGCCTGGCAGAAAAGGTGCTGTCACGAGCCAGCTGTCCCCTTTTCTCGGGGCGAATCCGGGGCAGAGAAGTGATTAACGCTCAGCAGCTCAGAAAGAAAGCCGTCCCTTCTCCCTGGGGAGCTTTGTCCTTAAGAAAAAAGTGGTTCCCCCGGTGATCCCTGCACAAACCAACCTTTCAGAAGCAGCAGAATCCCTCTGCTCGCCTCCCCTCCTTCCTTCCCCCACCCCGCTCCCCAGGTTGTCTCTGCAGAATATTGTCAGCATGGAGATGGCTGGGTAATTGATCACACCCCTGTGTGTGTGTGTGTGTGTGTGTGTGTGTGTGTGTGTGAGTGTGTGTGTGTGGGGGGGGTGTCAGGGGGAAATAAGCGTTAGCTTCACGTGCTGAGGTTTTAACATGCTGCCCTCGTCCCCTCCACCTCTCCCTCCGGCTGGGCTGGTGCCCGCGCCCCTCGGCAGAGTGGCAGCCGGCCGTGCAGATCCTCCTGTACTCCCTGATCTTCCTGCTCAGCGTGCTGGGGAACACCCTGGTCATCACCGTGCTGATCCGCAACAAGCGGATGAGGACCGTCACCAACATCTTCCTGCTGTCGCTGGCCGTCAGCGACCTCATGCTCTGCCTCTTCTGCATGCCATTCAACCTCATCCCCAACCTGCTCAAGGACTTCATCTTCGGCAGCGCCGTCTGCAAGACCACCGCCTACTTCATGGGTGAGTGGCTGCAGGCAGGGCTGTCTCTGGCGCTTGGCCAAGACCCATCAGGGGGCCCCTAGACCTTCCCAAACCCCAACAACCTGGACAACCTCCGCGGAGGAGCCCTGCTGAGTGGGAAAGACCAAACAGCTGGCTGCGCGGGGCTGTGGGCGAGGTCACAGGTGCCGGCGTGAGGGTGGCTTGGGGCTCACAGCAACTCCCCAGAAGTCCCTCCCGGCGTGCATTTCAGAGGTCGTTTTCTCAGAGTGGAATGAGTGGATAAGAAGCCACGGAAGAGGTTCGTTTCGCTTGTTTCTGTTAGAAAAAGGGGTGCAAGCTGCTCGCTCACGTTCTGGAAGCTGTTGATTGGAGCCCAAGCTCTCCCCAGCCCCAGTCATGGTTTGGGGTGGCGAGGAGGGGGTTTGGGGGGCCTTCCCGTTGCTGCTCTGACTTTGCCAGAGAACCCGGGCTGTTTGAAAGCCCGGGCATCAGAGCGCTGGGTGCCCTGCTCAGGACTCACTTCCCAGACAGTTCCCCCAGAGAGAACAGCCTTCACCCCTGGAGGAGGAGCTGAATTCGCTCCTGGTGGGCTATGGCGTTCCGAAGTCCACTCCATGCCTGTGCCAATAGAGATGTTGATGGGGAGGAGGAGAATAGAAATCACAAGAGCTAATGTTTTTTTATGCACCTGGTGTTATGCTAAGTGCTTTTACTCTCATTATCTCATTTTATAAACCAAACACCCTAAGCACAGTTAATTTTCAGTCTCCCAGAGGGGGGAGCAGAGGCACGGAGAGGTTAATGATGGGCCCAAGGGCACACAGGCGGTATGCTGCAGAGCTGGGATTTGAACCCAGGTCAGCAGGGACCCGGGCGGTTAATGAGCACACTGCGGGCTGCTGTGGCTCTCCTGGAGCTGCACAGAGATGTGTCTCTCGGTTCCCTTGTCTGCACAACTGCCTTGTCCCTGGCCTGTTCTGAGCACTAGTTTGGAGGAACAGGAGAGGCGGGAAATGGAAGTCTTCAATGACAAGGAAGCTTTAAAAACCTTGGTTTCTCCCCATTGAGGAAGCGGGACCGAGCACTCCGGAGAAGATGAGGAATTCCTGGTCTGCATGTCACAGACAATGCCCAGGAAAGTGTTGGTGGGTGTCCAAGTCCTCGAAAATAAAAACAGGCTGCAAAGGAAAAGGATCCTTGTTAAACGATGAAGCAACAATGATAACCAGCATTCCATGGCCCTTTAACTTATGATAATGTTATTTAAGTATCTTCAGCCAGAATACAGGAAAGGAAATCTAAAAATGCCATAAAACAGTTAATTTTATGTTATGTGACTTTCGCCTCAATCAATAACGTGTTTAAACATAAAGTGAGAAGCAAGATAATGCTGCAAGTGCTTGCGATAGTGTGATGGTTTTGTTGGACTTCTGATTTCCATCACTTCAAATCTTCATTTTGAATTCTCTTCAACGCTATTGCTGGCAGCCAACAGGCATCCAGCTCCTACTCTGTAGTCAAAAGCGGGGAGCTTGCCTGAGGGAGGGTCTACATTTGCTGTGGCCCCATCATGCCCAGGAGTTTGGCCTTGCCTCTCACTCCAAATGCCATCACCTCCTAGGTCCAGGGAAGCATAGAAAGGCCAGTTTCAGGACATGAGTTTTTATTTCATGGTTTGAGGACTGCAGTTTTCTTTAAGTCTCTAAGAAATATGATGCATATTCTCCCTAGAAAAAGAACATTTTTCTACATAGTGCCTCAGATGAATAATTTATGTCCCCAGGCTAACAACTTCTGCTCCCAAACTCAGATTAAGTCTTAGGTGTAATATATCACTGTGAGATATAATCAGAAGGTTTGACAGAATCCAAAGATGAAGAATTAAGGGAATTCTAAGGGGAAACAACATTTGAATACGCAGACACACACAAAACACCAAAGTTAAGAGAAATTAAGCTTCTTTGACTCTACGTACATCATCTTAAATGAGATGTTTTGATGTCTTGCTCAGTTACATACTTATTCTACAAAATGCAGAAAAGCAAGAAGAATGAGAAGGAAGATGCTAGACTTCCATGCAGACAAACCTGTAGTTATAGGATGGAATTTTTCCTCTTCACCTTTTTTATTATGGGTTCGTGTTTTTTTGTTTGTTTGTTTGTTTGTTTTTAATAAGCTACATTTTGAAATTTAGAATGTTTCACTCTTATAACTAGTCTGTACTAGAAATTTTCAGAAAGTTTTAATACCCTTATCTCAGTGACCTTTTGGGGTCACAGTCCTTGAGAATCTGGGTGATAAGGTCAACTTAACTAGGCAGATCATGCTCAAAATGAGAGCTTTTCTGTGGGTTACTCCCAAGTCTCCTCTATGGTGTAGGAATTAATTATTAATTAGTGAGTACAATCATCTTGAGAAAAAGTGAGATTGTAATCAAGGTCCAATGTACTTATCTGAGCATTGGCAGAAAGACGTATTTGCAAATACATTTCTTTACTTGCTTCCTTCAATCCTATTTGGAACAAAGCTGGGAATAAACTATTAAAAAAAAAATATATATATATATATATATATATACAACACACACACACACACACACACACACACACACACACAAACATACACAAGATTGCTTTACCCTTGGAGCAATTTCCTTTGATAGCAAACCCGTGCAGAGCAGATATGCGTAAGCGAATGTGCAAATAAGCTTAGGATTTCAGAGCCGACCAAACCAACCGCTTCGTTCCTCCCCAGGCACGTCTGTGAGTGTATCCACTTTCAACCTGGTCGCCATCTCTCTGGAGAGGTACCGTGCGATCTGCAAACCCTTGCAGTCCCGGGTCTGGCAGACGAAATCCCACGCTCTGAAGGTGATCGCCGCCACCTGGTGCCTCTCCTTCACCATCATGACTCCGTACCCGGTTTATAGCAACTTGGTGCCTTTTACCAAAAACAACAACCAGACAGCGAACATGTGCCGCTTCCTGCTGCCAAGCGACGTGATGCAGCAGTTCTGGTAAGGTCCCCTGGTGCCCGTTTGTTTGGTGCAATGATGGACATTCTTATAAAAACCCGGATGTATTGTCCAGAGTGCCTGGATGGGTCAGTTTCCTGCAAACCTTTGGAGAAGAATCATCCTGACCTTTTTCTAGGACAATAGTGATAGAAGACACTCAGTGCTCTGTTTAAATGCCATGTGCATGTTCATTCCATTAACCCTCTCAAAACCTAGGTACTGTTATTGCCCCCATTTCACAGATGAGGAAACTGAGATGCAGAGAGGTTAAGTAAATTGTTCAGTCCTGAGGCGAGCTGAGACGGAGCCTCGGTGCTTGTCCACTGGGCAGTGTGTTCCCGGATTGTCTAGTGGGGGTTCGGGCTAGATGGCGGGGCAGCTATGATTCTCTAAGAATTGAAGATGGAGTGAGGATGAGTCTTAGGCCCCGTGTGGTTTTCTCAGAGCTGCAGTGATGACACTTGCGCAGAGCACTTGGCTGAAAATAAAAAGGCAAGATTCCAAGCCTGTTTCTTCGCGGGGTGATGCTGGACAAGTTTACGTAAGCTCTCTGAGACACAAGTTCTTTATCTCTCCCAGGGTTTCATGATACAGATTATTTTTATCTACCTCATCAGGCGGCTGTAAGATTCCAATAAGAGCGCACAAGTGTGTATAAAGATGTCATTAAATATCTTTCAAAAGGCTACACAAATGCAGTGTATTGTGTTTACTAATTCAAAGCATGCTTTACAAGCAGGGAGCTAGACATTTAAAAATGCTCAGAACTGAGATAATCTGCTTCCTTTGCCTTCCTTTTTTTCCCCCCATTTCAACTCAGTAATACACACACACACACACACACACACACACACACACACAAGCATTGTGTTGCAAATGAGAGGGACTTGAAAAGAAATCTTATCAAAACATGTCCAGTTGAAATGAGAAATGGCCCGGCCACCCGGAGCCTCTGACAATTTTATGGCCTCATTACGTAACCTTCCACATGCCAGGCTGCAGTGACTGAGGGGCCAGGCTCATAAAAGAGGAGGCCGTGACATTCAGGAAGCAGACGTGTTTGGAGAAAGCACAGCTCTGCCCACCAGGCACCCGGGTGGGCACACCCCGTGCCAGAGCGCCACAGCCGGCCAGAAAGCCATATTTTGCAAAACAAAGCAGGCTTGCCACCATTCCTACCTGTGCTGGTAGTTACTTACTAGCCACAGAGGCAGCAGATGGCATAGTGCTAGGCCTAAGAGCACAGGTTCTAGAATCATGTTGTTTGGGTTCGAATCCCACCTTTCCCACTGGCTGTGTGACTCAGGACAAGTTACTTAAGTCTCAGTTTCCTGACTGTAAATGAGGCTTTACAATACTCCCTGCCTCAAAGATTATGATGAGAATTAAATGTAATAATAGCTATAGAAAATGCTTACCCTATTGTGTAGCATGTTTAATAAGTCCTCAATGAATGCAAGCTCTTGGGGTTTGTTTGATTTGTTGTTGGTGGTTCTGTTTTCATTTTTTTTTCCTTTGGTGATAGCTTTATTAAAATAAAATTCACATATTCTTTTTTCTTAAGCTCTTATTTTATATGTAGACTTGTCTCAGGCACAAAACATTTCCAATTTAACAAGTCCTTCCTAAGAGACTTGATCAGAAAAAAAGAAAAGAAGCAAATAACTTCAGATGCCTGACCCTCCAGACATGGAATTTCCAAGGATAGGAAATGCTGGTAACGACTGTGTTTGCTCCGACCAGTTTGAAGGGAGATGAATCTTATTGATTCCGTCCCATCTGCGCTGGGAATACTGGACTGCCGGTTATTGGTTTTCTTTTTATTTCATTAGGCACACGTTCCTGTTGCTCATCCTCTTTCTGATTCCTGGAATCGTGATGATGGTGGCGTATGGATTGATCTCTTTGGAACTCTACCAAGGAATAAAATTTGATGCTAGCCAGAAGAAGTCTGCTCGAGGTAACTGTCTCTTAGTTGTCTGTTTATGCCAAAAGATCACACAGCATGGTTTCTGTAACGTAACTAGACACCACGTGGTCTGATGGGGATTTTCACAAGTGCTGTCAGACTGGCCAAAACGGGTTTGGCTCAGTGGATAGAGCATCAGCCTGTGGACTGAAGGGTCCCAGGGTTGATTTCGGTCAAGGGCATGTACCTTGGTTGTGGGCACATCCCCAGGGAGGGGTGTACAAGAGGCAGCTAATAGATGTTTCTCTCTCATTGATGTTTCTAACTCTCTATCCCTCTCTTCCTCTCTGTAAAAAAAAAATCAATAAAATATATTATATATATTTAAAAAAAAAAAAAGTGCTGTCAGACTGTGGCATGAGGCACAATCTCGAGAGCAAGCACCTCTGGCTCCTCATCTGAGCAACGGAGAAATCACTCCTCTCCCAAGGTAACCGAGTGGAATAACATGAGCTAATTAATACACGCAGACCCCGATGGGAAGCCGAGGGCCCGCGTGCCCAGACTTTCTGTAATGTTGTATTCACACGGACCCCCTTCAGCTGCTGACATTCATTGTAATGCTAGCCCTCCAGCCTGTCCCCTCCCTTCACTGTCCCATTGCAGTCGCCACCAAGCCTCCCCCGTCCCCATCCATTACAGCCCACTGCCCACTGGAATTCACCCGACACCTTTGCTGTCATAACTCTTCGCCTCCATCTTTCCCATGCGTATAACTTGGTCTCTCCAGCCTCTTTGGTGTTTGTTGCTTGCTGCTCACCGTCCAGATTCCTCATGTAAACGTGGTCTGGAGGCTTAGCAAGTGAGCAGCAACCTTTCCACCAAGAAGGCAGGGGAAGAAGGACAGAGTGTGAATATTCATTCTTCAATCATTTTTTAAAATATATTTTTATTGACTTCAGAGAGGAAGGGAGAGGGGAAAAGAGAAACATCAGTGAGGAGAGAATCACTGATGGCTGCCTCCTGCACACTCCCCACCGGGGACTGAGCCCACAACCCAGGCATGTGCCCTGACCAGGAATCCAACCTACTGGTTCCTAAGTCGATGCTCAACCACTGAGCCATGCCGGCCCAGTCATTTTTAAAAAATATATATTTTATTGATTTTTTACAGAGAGGGAGAGAGAGGGACAGAGAGTTAGAAACATCAATGAGAGAGAATCATCGATCAGCTGCCTCTTGCACACCCCCCTACTGGGGATGTGCCCCCAACCAAGGTACATGCCCTTGACCGGAATCAAACCTGGGACCTTTCAGTTCACAGGCCGACGCTCTATCTACTGAGCCAAACCAGTTTCGGCAAGGCCCGGTGATTTTTAAGCTTTATAATTTACATATATAAAATGCTGTTTTATTTTGTATATTATGCGTGTCACATATTGCACACGTTGTTTTATTAGCTTTACGTAGCTTCTCATCGGTAGGAAACGGTAGTAAGGTCAATGCTGCCCCATGTGGCCTGCCCCATCCTTCCGTTCATGTTTGACGGTCCCCCTACTTGGAGGGGGTGCTCGGCTGCTCGACGTCATGGCCCATCCTGAGCAATAAGTGGTGTCCAAAGGACTTGTGTGCATGCATATGGGGTTAATCAGTGGCCATGGACAACAGCGGGGAGGGGGCATATGTGGGGAGAGGTTTGGATGGGAATGGGGGGATGAGGGCAATTATGTGATACCATAATCAATAAAAAAATAAATAAAATTTAAATTAAAAAAAAATAAGCGGCGCCCTTGCCCACGCAGAGAGGAAGGCGAGCACGGGCAGCGGCGGCGGGAGGTACGAGGACAGCGACGGCTGCTACCTGCAGCGGCCGCAGCCCCGCCGGCAGCTGGAGCTGCAGCGCCTGTCCATCGCCAGCGGCCGCGGGGCCAGCCGCATCCGCAGCAGCAGCTCCGCCACCAACCTGCTGGCCAAGAAGCGGGTGATCCGCATGCTCATGGTCATCGTGGCGCTCTTCTTCCTGTGCTGGATGCCCATCTTCAGCGCCAACGCCTGGCGCGCCTTCGACCCCGCCTCTGCCGAGCGCCAGCTCTCGGGGACGCCCATCTCCTTCATCCTCCTGCTGAGCTACACGTCCTCCTGCGTCAACCCCATCATCTACTGCTTCATGAACAAGCGCTTCCGCCTGGGCTTCCTGGCCACCTTCCCCTGCTGCCCGCACCCCGGGCCCCCCGGGCCGCGGGGAGAGCCGGGGGAGGAGGAGGGCATGACCCTGGGGGCGTCTCTGTCCAGGTACTCCTACAGCCACATGGGGGGCAATGCCCCCTGAGGGCGGAGGCAGCAGGGGTGCTGGGGGAGGGAGAGGAGGAGAAAACAGGGACGAAAAGGAGGAGAAGAGAGGCTCCCTTCCAGGGGGAACTCGCCATGGCTGCTCTTCCTCCTCCCTCCTGGTTGGGGATGGGGCCCTGGCTTGTTTTCCTGAGTTCAAGGCATTTTCCCTAATATCCTCCGCAGGAAACCTCAGCAGGCGGGGCACTGAGTCCAGCAGGGTTCATGCTGCCAACGTGATTGCCCAGCACAGGTTCTGCCTGGGGGAGAGGAGGTGCAGGGGCAGGGGCCCTCCTGAGCTTTAGAAGGTTCTAGGCCATCGAGGGTGGGCTCTCCCTCCTGGTGACACACTTCTGGACTCTGCTTCTGCTGATGCGGAGTTGGGGCGGCCGCTTTGCCCTGGGGAGTCCATTTCTCGTGAGCATTTTCTAGTCACTCCCTCATCATGACCACCGAGGGGAAGAGGGAGCAGTCCCTCCCCTGGCTGTTTTCTATAGGAAGAGAGCAGCTTGGCTTTACCTTCTGGAGGTCCGTCCAGGGCCCGCAGTGACGTAAGTGTGTGCCATCATCAGAGCAGCACAGGAATTTGGAATTCCTATTTCCCAAACGGACAGAGGACACCGGGCCAAGCCGCTGGATCAAACGGTACCTACGACAGGGAAGAGTAAGTGCCAGAAGGCATTTTTTTCCACGTTAACGCTGTCTATTGCTTCGCTCCACTTTCATATGGCGACATAAAGCCCCGTGGCTCCTTTGCCTCAAATTAATGTTTCTTACTCATCTGGCACTTCCTCTGTTCCAGAAAGACCTCCAGGATACAAAGGGAAGTTGTACGGTCGGCGTACCTGGCCCGTCGTGGAAACACGTGTAGTCGGGCCCAGAATAGAAACTGGCATCCTTGAACTCAGTTAACAAAAGAGCTTTTGAACGTCGAAGCTGTCTATGCCGTTAAGTACAATCTACCCATTGGCTAATAATTGTATTGATTTTACGTACATGTGTAAACTGAACATATGTGTTCTTTACATATAAGTATATTCTTTGGTGTGTCTTAAAAAAAAGTATGTGGAGGCTGGAATTCAGCAGTGTTATAGTTTTCCATTTCTGTTGGAGTTTCATGTGATCATGACGTCTTTGCAACATCAGTGTTGAAATCTCTCGCCTCCAATTTACAAATCTCAAAAGATAAAGATGTGAGCTCTACATTTAGATAGCCAGAAATGCCTTTCTAGAATAGACTGTCTCAATCCAGCCTACTAGTACTTCTATCTTTTTTTGGGGGGGGGGGGCAACATTGTCCTGTCTTCTTAAATACATTAACACAGGCATTTTTAACTAAAACAAGTTTACATGCAGGCGTAGGTAAAACAAAACAAAACACAAAGCAAGCTATAGCTTCCATGGTTCCATGCATTTAAGAAGTGAGTTTTTTTTCCTTTTTTCTTTTTTCTTCTTTTCATGGGGCCTGACATGTTACTTCATAGCACATAAGGGCCAATGGTTTCGATTATTGAAAAAAAAAAAAATCACTGTGGAAGAGAGAAAAGGAGGAGAATGGCAAGAAGGGATAATGAATGGGGGTAGGGACGTTGTCTAATTTAAGAAGATAGGAGTGTCACCATTTGTGTTTCTGGGGGGTGAGAGGATGATCACATACTAAAGGACAAGAAGTTTGAGGACATAATTATTTATTATAGGAGACTTTTCAAGTCAGATGTTGATTTTTTTTTTCTTTTCCTCAAACTGCAATATAATGTTAATATTCATGACCAGTCATCTCAAAGATTTCAAAGTAAAGAATCAACTGCTAACATGGTAATGATAAAAGGAGAAAGAAATTGCAAATGTCTGTAATATTTGAGTAAATCCGACAAAACCTACAATTTTTCTACTGGAAGAAGCCTTCCCCTCTGACAGTGTTAGCATATAAATGAAAATAAGTGAGGCCCCCATTCTTGGGAACCTCTGGAATGTACTGCGGTGTAGTAACCTAAAAATAGATTGCTATGTTTAGCAACTAAAAATGCAAGATGTCTGATTAAATTCTAATTACAGATAAAATACTTTTTGGTGAGAGTACCCATGTCCCATGCACTAAACACATTCCTATGAAGTAAGTTTTGACTCACATAAAGATATAAAGAAGAGTTCCCAGATATAGGCCAATAAAATAACTCTCTTCACTAAATTTCTTGGAAGGTCTTTCACATAGTAAAAGCTTTTTTAAAAAAAGGAGAAGAAGAAGAAGAAGAAGAAGAAGAAGAAGAAGAAGAAGAAGAAGAAGAAGAAGAAGAAAAATACTATTAACTTTCAGAACCTGTGCCTGACCTTTGGGAATGGTAGTATCAACAGACTGATTTTACTGTTAAATTTATTTATTTTTTGTTAATCCTCACCTGAGGATATTTTTCCCATTGACTTTTTAGAGAGAATGGGAGGGGAGAGACAGAGAGAGATATACATCGATGTTTAACAAATTAATGGGTTGCCTCCCACATGCACCTGAGGGCCGGGGACCTGGTCTGCAACAGAGGTACATGCCCATGACTGGAATAGAATCTGAGACCCTTCAGTCTGCTGGGCGATGCTCTAACCACTGAGCAAAACAGCTAGGGCTCTTAAATTTTAAAAAAAAACAACATATAAATCTGTGCTAGTATTTTGTTGTGTCAACTGCCTTTATTTCATGCCAAGTGGATTGTCAATTGGAATTTGAAGTACAATAACCAGTAGAGTCAATAGACTCACCAGTTGCTGGTATTTTCTAGTGTCTTCTGGTAGCTCCCACTCATCGGCAGAGTGGCAAGTTACAACTTGAATGTGTCTTTGATCTTGTTAAACCATGTGTCCCAGTGGCTTCTGCGCCCTAGTTACTGCTGTGATCTCTCATGTAAACGTGTAGTGATGAGTGCACAGCTAGTGCATCTGTGTGGTTAGTTACACAGGTTTGTGTGTGCTTAGCAAGTGCCTCCTCCATTCGGTTAAAACGTAATATTCATGAGGCCAGTGACGGTAGCTGCTAACCCTCCACGGTGTTTCCTTCCAGTGTTTTGCCCGGTACTCTGCATCAATAGTACTGGGTGCTCAATAAATCTTATGCCTGATTCCACTCTGCCGCCTGTGATTTTGGGGGGGCTCCCTTTCCGTCCACGGTGGTGATTCTCAGCAAGGAGGGCACATTCTTGGGATGGAGGAATAGCACCAGAATTACTAGAGGGCTTTTCCCAGCTCTGCGTGTATCCCCACCCAAGATTCAGCTGAAACTGGAGATGTTACTAATGGGAGGGTGTTAACAGTGTAAGACACAGATAAGAAAGTGTTGGGGAAAAGGACAAATACTGTAGATTTCACTCAGTTGAAATATCCAAAGTCATCAAAATCATCTAGACAGAGCAGAAAGATGGTTCCTTAGGTCAGAGGAGGTGGTGGTAGGGGAAAGGGGGTAGTATTGAGTGAGTACCGTATAGCCTTTCAGTGTTGCCAGATAAAAAACTTCTCTTGTACAACAATGTGGAGATACTTAACCCGAGTGAACTGTACACTTAAAAATAAGTGTAAATTATTTGTGTAATAGTTTGTGTACGATAGTACATTTTTATATTATGTGCTTTTAACACAATTAAAAGGGGGATAGGAAGTGGGAACCACTAGCCTGCGGTATCCCTTGCTTTGCTCCTCCCTGCCTTTTTCCCTTTTTTTTTTTTTTTTTTTACAGAGAGGAAGGAAGAGGGATAGAGAGTTAGAAACATCGATGAGAGAGAATCATTGATCAGCTGCCTCTTGCACACCCCCTACTGGGGATGTGCCTGCAACCAAGGTACACACCCTTGATTGGAATCGAACCCGGGATCCTTCGGTCCACAGGCTGACACTCTATCCACTGAGCCAAACCGGTTTGGCTGCCTTTTTTTTTTTTTTTTTGAAACAGCATGGAGACACCATGACCCCCTTTACTACCCACAAATGCCACCTCTGAGGGGTAAGAGGATGCACTCTAGCCAGAAAGCCCAGCACTCTGTCCAAACCTTACTTAGCCCTGCCACTACCTTGTGTGACTCAAGGCAAGTCACACGCCTTGTCCGGTGTCTGTTTCCTTGTGCAGATGAGGGGTTGTTGCTTCATCTCTGAGTGATCAGTGGGTCAGGGTTTGCTATGTCCCTGGATTATCCCACAGCTTCCCTGAATTCCATGGCATCCCATCAACTTTGCAATCAGAGAAGCCCCCTCATGCCCAAGGTTACATACCAGTAACCATCTCTGAGGACAGCCGGAGGGAAGGCTGTCAGAGCAAGAGAGGAGAGGCCCACGGAGGAACCTGATGGCTCTCACCGCCGCCCAGAGCAGCTTCCAGGAGGTGAGTTTCTGGAACACCGGCTGCATGCCTGTGGAAATGTGGGCATGAAACTCACTCCCACAATGAACTTGGCCTGCAAGGGTGAAATCGTGACTAAAACCTGCTTTGTGCAGTGTACACGTTGCTGGTGGCAGCAATCACTCCTAGAGGAATGAATGAATGCCTACTCATTATAGTTTCTGATTTAATTCTCAACATGAGGCATCATGTTCCACATCTCACAGGTAAGGTAATTAAGGCTCAGGGGAGCTGATACATGTCCATGGTTAGGGAGCGAGGAGATGACAGGGACAGGATGGAGCCCTATTCTAATGCCAGCAGGCTGCCCTGGGGATTAGGTGACACTGAGCAGTCTAAGGAATCAATGGCTGTCGATTTTCCTTCCTAAGGTGCTTCACAGCTCCTCACCCCTACACTACAAGGACCCCAAGGAAGAGATACCCATCTCTGTTCCTGCCTTCCTCCTCCCCCACCCTGAGCTCCTTGGATCTGGAGGATTTCACAGCTGGCTCCCTGCACGTGTGCCCTCCCTGCTCCCATCCCTGTGTTTATTTTTAGAAGGAAGATAACAAGCCCTTTGCCACCTCCCTGGGAAGCCAAGAGATACTATCAGGCAACAAGCTTCCACCTCTCAGGCAAATTGTCAG